CTCGATAAAAACGGAGACTCATTTAGATTTTTTGGAGGAAATGTGAATTAGTATTTTGATTTTCATTAGATTATTTTCTCAATACAAAAAGTTTGTCTTCTTTTATTGATATTTGAATCTATAATATTGTTTATATTTTACACTACTTAATTTAAGGCATTTGGTAGTGGAAAATTAACCAAATTTTGATGAATATATACAGTTAGGGACATTATTTGAAATTATTTACCCCCCAGAATAGATTTTTACAATGTTAGAATATATCTAATTTAGCAAACTGATTTGCTTTTTGCCATTTATTCTTAAACATTTCAGAAATTTGGGTTACATGAAAATATTGAACAAATTTGGAAATCAGGCACACGTTTTTTAGGATCGGACAAATTTAGAGTGCTTATGTTAAAAAAAATAGTAATAAACACAAGGCTTGGTACAATTTTTTTAGGAAACTGATTTGTCTTGGATTTTTAAATTATTCAATTTTTCATTTTTTTGTTACTTCAATTTTCCGATTTCGCAATTTTTCGAGTCTTCAAGGTGTTATTTTTTAGTTTTTTAATTTTCCAAATTTTGAATTTTTCCATTTTTAGGTTTTTAAATTTTTCAATTTTTTGATTTGCAGTTTTTCATTTCGGTTTCCAATTTTTTCATTTTTTCAATTATTCGCTTTTTCAATGTATCCAGTTTATTATTTTTTACTTTTTTATTTTAATTTTTTTATTTTTGGATTGTTCAATTTTTCGATTTTCGATTTTTTTCATTTTTTATTTTTTCAAGTTAAGATTTGCAACTTTTGGTTTCGGTTTTTTATTTTTAGATTTTTCAATGTTTCGATTTTATAAATTTTTGTTTCTTCAATTTTAATTGTTCCAATTATTTCGTTTCTTTAATTTTTCGGTTTGCAACTTTTCAATTTTTCATTTTTTTTTTCAATTTTACAAAATGCAGAAATTGAAGCATCGAAAAATTTTAAAATCACAAAACTGAAAATCGGTAAATTGAAAAATTGAGTCTGTTTTTTGAGTTGAAATTTTTCATTTCGGTTTTTTACTATCGTTATTTTTAGTTTCTCGATTTTTCAATCGATTTTCTAATTTTTGTGCTTTTTCAATTCAATTTTTTTCCATTTTTCGTTTCAATTTCTCAATTATTTTGTTTCGTCGATTTTACGATATGCATATGTTCAAGTTTTCATTTCAATTTTTGGATGCTTCAATTTTTAAATTTTGCAGTTATTCGATTTGTAATTTTTCGGTTTTTCAATTTTTCAATTTTTGGTTTCTTCAGTTGTTTCAATTTCAATTTTTGGTTTCGGTTTTCTGTTTTCTTTATTTTCTCAATTATTCTATTTTTCATTGTATCGAGTTGATGATTTGTAAATTTTTCAATTTTATTTTTTTTTAATTTTCGGATTCTTCAATTTTTCGATTTTCGATTTTTTAATTTCTCATTTTTTCAAGTTTTCGATTTACAACTTTTGGTTTCGGTTTTTTATTTTTAAATTTTACAGATTTTTGTTTCTTCAATATCATTTTTCTTCAGTTACTTCGTTTTTTCAATTTTTCGATCTGCAACTTTTCAATTTTTCATTTTTTGTTTCAATTTTACGAAATGCATCTCATGAAAATTCCAGAAATTGAAGCATCGAAAAATTTTAAAATCACAAAAATAAAATTTCGGAATAATGAAAATCGAAAAATTGAAAAATAGAGAAATTTGAACAATAAAAAAAATAAAAATCCCCTTATCGAAAAAGTATTGAAAATTCGAAGTAAAAAGCCGAGAAACCGAAAAAAACTCGAAAAATCGAATCGAAAAACCGAAAAATTTTAAAAATTCGAATATTTAAAAATAAAAAATTTAAAAAATGGAGAAACTAGAAGGAAAAATCGAAATACTGAAAAATACTTTAACGGAAATATTGAAAAATTTAATAAATCAATAATTAGATAAATCGAAAAATCTCAAAAAAAAAAATTTAGAAATTTCCTGAATTAAAAAATCGAAAACCTGAAAAAGTTTTCCGATTTTCCAACATTTGGATGTTTCGTTTTCTATATTTTGCGAATTTTCAATTTACAATTTAATGAATTTTCTATTTTTAATTTTTCAATTTTAAATTTTTCAGTTTTTCATTTATTCGGTTTTTGGAGTTATTTCTCATTTCTATTCTTTACTGTCTTTATTTTTACAGCTATTCAAATTTTCAATCTTCCGACTTTATAATTTTTTTGTTTTTTCAATTTTTTGTGTCTGATTTTATGATATGCGTATCTTCAAGTTTCCATTTTTAAATTTTTCAGTTTTCCGATTTTTCAATTCTTGGATGTTTCAATTTTTAGATTTTTTGATCCCCAATTTTTCGTTGTTTCAGTTTTAAGTTTTTTAACCTTTCGTTCTTTCAATTTTAGACCTTTCAGTTTCTGGATTTTTCAATTTTGCGTTTTTTCAGTTTTTTCGATTTGCAATTTTTGGTTTCGGTTTTTTATTTTCTTCTTACAATTTAAATTGTTTCTATTTTTCGTTAATTCACTTTTTCAGTGTGCAATTTTTCAATTTTTCACTTTTTGTGTTTCCTCAAATTTAGGATTAGAATTTCTTGGAGTGTTCATTTTGAAATTTTTTAGTTTTCCGATTTTCCAACTTTTGTTCTTTCAATTTTTAGATTTTGCAATTTTTAGTTTTGCTATTTTTCGTTTAGATTTTGTATTTTTTTTATTTTTGTAATTTTTTGATTCAGTTCAATTTCAGTTTTTTCAATTATTCGTTTCTTTATTTTTGAATTTTCAATCTTTCAATTTTTGGATTTTCAAGTTTTTTTATTTGCAATTTCGCGAGTTTTCAATTTTTAATTTTCCAATTTTTAAATTTTCAATTTATCGATTTACAATTTTCCGTGTCGGTATTTTATTTTCTTTATTTTTGCTTAATTTTTTGCAGTTTCACGAGTTTTCAATTTTCCATTTTTCGATTATTGATTTTTAAATTTTTTGATTTTTCAATCTTTCGATTTTAAATTTGTTTAGTTTTCCGATTTTCCAAGTTTTGGATGTTTCAATTTTCAGATTTTGAAATTTTTCGATTTGCAATGACACTTGTTTTCAAACTTAAATTTTTCTGTTTTTAGATTTGTCAGTTTTCGATTTTTCAGTTTTTCGACTTTTCAATTTTTCGAATGAAAGAAATGGGAAAATTTCAAAATTCTAAAATTCAAAAATAATAAATGAGAAAACGAAAAAGTATAGAATGAAAACTAAAAACTGGAAATCAAAAACTTGGAACATTTTTAAAGTTAATATTTTTCAATAATTTTTTTATATTTCCATTTATCCATCTTTCGACTTTACCACTTTACGGTTTTTTTTTTCGTTTCTGGAGTATTCGATTTCTTAACTTTTCGGTTTTCACATTTTCGATTTTTTGGATTTTTTCAATTTCTAATTTTTCTATGTTTTGATATTAGAATTTTTAAATTTCTCGATTTTATAATTTTCTGATGCTTCAATTTTTCGATTTTTGAAATTTTAGATATTTCGGTTTCTCGATTTCTCGTTTTTGTGATTTTTCAGTTTTTCGGTTTTTAGATTTTTTAAACTATACGCTTTTTACGTTTTTTTATGTTTCGATTTCCCGATTTTTTAATCTATTTTTATTGCAATTTCTCGATTTTTCGAAATTTCGATTCCCCGCAATATCCAATTTTCTCGATTTTTTAAATTTTCGAATCAAAGAAATGGGGAAAATGCAAAATTCTAAAATTGAAAAATCAAAAATGAAAAAACGAGTAAGTATAGAATGAAAACTCAATTTTTCATGTTTTCATATTTCCTTTATCGATCTTTCGATTTCTGAATTTGTCGATTTATCTATTTTTTTAAATTTTTCAATCTTTTACGATGTTGGACTATCAGTTTCTCAGCTTTTCAGTTTTGGATTTTTCGAATTTTTAGCTTTTCGAAATTTTTGGAGATTTTGAATTTCCAATTTTACGATGTTTTAATTTTGAGGTTTTTAAATGTCTTCCTTTTTGAGTTTTTGATTTTTCTATTTTTAAGTAATTTTTTTTTAAACTATACATTTTTACGATTTTTTTTGTTTACATTTCCGGATTTTTAAAATTTTTATATCTCAATTTTTCGGTTTTTCAACTTTTCGAATCAAAGAAATGGGAAAATTGCAAAGTTTTAAACTGAAAAATCAAAAATTGAAAAACGAAAAATTATGTAACAAAAACTTTGAAAAATCTAAAAACTGGAAATCAAAAACCTGAAAAATTGATGAAGCGCAAAGTTGATAAATCGAAATATTAAAAATTGAGGAACTTAAAAATCGAAAAATTGCAAAATCCAAAAAACGATGTTGTAAAATCGAAATTTTGAAAATTAAATAAATTGAAAAATCAAAGATTGAAAATTTGAAAGACTGAAAAATGAAAAATGATATAAAGATAAAATCGGGAAAACCGAAAAATGACAAATTGTGGAACCGAAAAAATTGAAAACTTGCAAATTGAAAAATTAAAAAAAATTGCAAAAATGAAGAATTATGAAACCGAAGCATCGAAAAATGGAAACATTGAAAAATTATAAAAATGTTTTAAAAACTATGAGTCATAATATTTTGCACGTTAAGAAAGGATTTATTTGGCAAAATTTTGAGATGTCGTCATCAATTCTTTGCGAGGGAATAAACGAATAAATAAATCTTAAAACGGTTGCGAGATTTCAGAGCATCCGGTTTTTCAGTTTCAAAATTTTTTTCCAAAAATCTGGACGGCTAAAGTAAAAACTGAACACGAATTCATACACCAGGACACAAATTTACTATTGTAAATTTTGGAGATGATGTCATCAAATTCCTCTTGGGGATGATTAGCCAATTTTTGGTTGGCTTTCTAGTATCTATATGATAGTCCTAATAAAATAAATAGGGAAGGCAATTTTTTCAAGTTTCTGTGTTTACTTGGTACATAAGGAAAATAATAACATAATTTAGTTTACCTTTCCGTCGCTCTTCCTGTAGGCATCGTGGATCCTCCACACTAATTCCGGCCCTGCGCTCGCCGTCTGCTTCCCAATTTCGAAGAACTGCCCAATAGGGTTGGTCTCGAGCGGGCTCTGGGCGCCTCCGCCGCTCTTGAACTTGGAGAACATCGTAGTGGTAGGCATTGACAGCTTCATAGGTACGACTTTACGCTCGACCACCAAGAAGCACCATTTCAAAATAAAAACCCGCGATAAATTCCCGTTTTACGAAAGCGCGCTCCGAACGAATAAGTTCCCCATGTTCGGCCGTTTCCTGCAACAAAATCGCAAACTTAGAGTGTATTAGAAATTTATCGCAGATTTATAGTGCGTTTTATGGGGGAGATCTGCTGATGCGGGTTTAATTTTACGAATTTATGAAGCGACTTATGAGTTATGCGTTTCGGCGAAATAGATTGCGGGGATTATCAAGGCATCAAGGAATGTGTTGAGGGTGATAAATTGTGTCTGGGTTGATACCTAGTCCTGGTGAATTTAAATCTGAATGCAGCGTCTTCAAGAATAATTAAATTAGTTATACGAGTAAGCAATTTAAATGAGTCGTTTATGTCTAAGGTGATATAAGAACCTCCAGCAAGTATTTACAACAGCTTTCAGACGTAATTTCGGCGATATTTGAAATGTAAATTGCAGCTATTTAGTATGCGTTTCACTTTCATGATCGTTATTTTCTGCCAAGTTTATATTAAAGTGCCCGCTTCTGAGGCAGAGTGTTTTCTTTATAATCGTCAGATAAATGTGGCGGTTATTAACATTGTGAAATATTTTTACGAGCTAATTTGGCTTTGAGCAACCGGTGATACGATTACCGAACTTCCAAAACGAAGAACGTTTTACTTTGGCGAAAATTTAATTAGAAAAGTTTGTGGTCTTTGAAAAATCAGGTTTTTCGCTTGTTTTGACTAGGGTTTTCGGAAATTGGCTCTATCGGAATTTTCAGCGGTTTAATTTTATAATAATCCAGGTCTCGAAATATTCATACATGAAATAGTCTCCTTTTCTCCTTCGCGGTAAAATTTTAATCAAAATATATCTCTTCATCCTCCCAAAAAATTGTAGATGTTACTCAAAATTTTGCCGCATGAATCCTATCGAAAATTCTTCATTCATTACAATCATATTTTTTCGAATTGTTTAGCGAGGGTGACTCAAAAAATTAATGAATGTGTCAATTTATTTATTTTTTTGACCAAATCAGAAACCACTGGTTCCATGTGCATCTATACAAATTGACATGTCCTCTTATACAAATGTTGATGACGTCGTTACAAAATTTTATAAAAGAGAAACTCACTTGAAACAAATAAATAGGTATTACTTTGATAATTTTTCAAAAAATATGGAAATTTTTATTGCACGAGAGAAGTTCTGTCGAAAAAACCTTTATCAATTTTATTTTTTACAATGTTTCGATTTCTCAATTGCCCGGTTTTTAATGAAACAATTTTTCAATTGTCAGGTATTCAATTTCTCAATTATAGAGTTTTCAATTATTGTTTTTACAGTTATCAGTTTTTTAATTTTTTTGATTTTTTAACTTAATGATACATATATCAATTTTACGATTTTGCAATTTTTCGATTTCATCAATAATCGATTTTTCAATTTTTGTAATCTTGTAATTTTCCATTTTTACAGTTTAATAATATTCAGATGTCCAGTTATTCAATTATTCAATTTTGTTTTTTTACAAATTTTTAATTTTTTGATTTTTAAATATTCGAAATTTCAATTTTAATTGTACATGATTCTGATTTTTCAATTTCATAAATTCTCCCAATTTTTTTATTTTTAAATTTTAATTTTTCGGTCTTACAACTGTGTATCTAATTTATCAATTTTGTGATTTTGCAATTTTTTGATTTTTCAGTTTTAAATTTTAAAAACAATTCCAATTATTCGATTTCTCGATTTTCAGTTTTTCGATACCTTTATTCTGGAATTTTTCCATTTTTCGATTTTTCAATTTCTTTTTTCTCAGTTTCTCAATTTCAGTTTTGTGATTATTCAATTTTTCAATTTTTTGACTTCTATATTTATCGATTTTTCAATTTTCCGATTTATCTATTTTTTTATGTTTCAGTTTTCGGATTTTTCGAGTTTTTTTTCAATTGTTTGATATGTATTTGAATTTTAGAATTTTTCGATTCCAAAATTTTTCAGATTTTTCAACTTTTGGTATTATAGTTATGAAATTTTTCAATTTTTTGATTTTTCAACGTTAATGAATTGGCAATGTTGCGATTATCCAATTTTTCAAATTTGTAATGTTGAAACTTTCAATTTTTTGATGTTTAATAGTTCAAAATTTCAATTGTAATTTCACACGATTCTGATTTTTCAGTTTCATAAATTTTCCCAATTTTTTTGTAAATTTTATATTTTTCGTTTTTACAATCGTGTATCCACTTTCTCAATTTTTTCTCAAATTTTCGATTTTCGTGATTTTCGATTTCTCGACTTTACAACTTTCGATTTCTCAATTCCCAGATATTTTAGTTTAGACATTTTTCAGTAGTTTTCATTCTTCAATTTTTCTTTGATTTTGCATTTATTTTTAAATTTATTAATTTTTCCAAATATTAGTTTTTCAAATTTCATTTCAGGAATTTTTCTGTATTTCGATGTTTTAATTTTTCATTTTTTTGACGTTTCAGTTACCCGATTTTTCAATTTTCCGATTATTATCCAGTTTATCCATATTTTAATTCTTCGAATCCTTAAATTTTAGATTTTTCGGTCTCTAAATTTTTTTATTCAGTTGGTCCATTTTTTTTATTTTCCAAATTTTTATTTTTAGAGTTTAGATTTTTAAATTTTGATTTTCAACTTTTCGGTTTTAGATTTTTTGGTTCTCAATTTTCCGATTTTTCAATTGTTCGGTTATTAAATTTTTCGATTTTGCAATTTTTGACGAAATTTCGATGTTTAAATATTTCGATTGTTAAATTTTTGGATTTGTCTGTTCTTTAAAATTTGTAATTATTGTTTTTCTCTGTCTTTTTTGTATAGCTTTTGTCTCTTTTCGACCCTTTGCTCTGTTAGTCAATAAATCAATATTATTATTTTTATTAAATAAACATTATCAATTTTTCAGTTTTTAATTTTTCGGTTTTCGATTTTAGGTTATTTCTATTCCTCAACTAGTCGATTTCTAGCTTTTTAGATTTTTCGACTTTTTGGTTTATGGATTTTCTGGATTTTTACATTTTACGATTTTTCGATGTTTCGATATTGGGATTTTTCATTTTTTTGATTCTTCAGTTTTCAATTTTTCAATTTCTCCATTCTTCAATTTTTCTTTGATTTTACAATTTATTAATTTTTCAACATTTCATTCTAGGAATTTCTCTGTATTTCGATCCTTCAATTTTTCAATTTTTCGATTATTCAATTTATCGATATTTTCGTTCTTCGAATTTTTAAATTTTAGATTTTTCGGTTTCTACATTTTTTGACTTTTCAGTTGGCCGATTGTTTTAATTTTAGTTTTTTTAATATTTAGAGTTTAGATTTTTAAATTTTGATTTTCATCTTTTCGGTTTTAGATTTTCCGATTTCTCAATTTTTCAATTTTTTTATTTCTTGAGTTATCGAAATTTCCATATTTCGATTTTGCGACTGTTCAGTTTCCAAATTTTTTTGTTTTTCAATTTTTATTTTTTCAGTTTTTCGATTTTGGGCTATTTCCATTTCTCAACTATTCGATTTCTAGATGTTTCGATTTTTCGGCTTTTTGGTTTTTCAATTTTCCGGATTTTTTTGCGATTTTTCCATTTTTCGATTCTACAATTTCTTGAATTTCCAAATTTTGATTTTTCGATTTTTTTATTTTTGACTTTCTCAATTTTCTAATACATATTTCAATTTAACGATTTTTTAATTTTTCGAGTTTTATATTTTTTGATTTCCCCATTTATCGACTTCTCGATTTATAGATTTCTAAATTTTTTGATTTCTAATTTTGGGATTTTTAGATTTATCGATTCTTCAATTTTTCCTCAAGTTTGCAGTTTTTCGATTTATTGATTTTTCCAAATAGATATAAATTTTTCAATACTTTATTTTAGGAATTTTTCAGTACTTGGATACTTTGATTTTTAAATTATTCGACCTTTTGTTGTTTCGATTTCTCGATTATTCAATTTTTCGATGTTCAATTTTGCGAAATTTTAAATCTTCGATTTTTAAAATTTTACGTTTTTACCTTTCTAGATTTTTTGACTTTTTACTTCGACTTTTCTATATTCCAATTTTTTGAATTTTTGGAGTTTAGATTTTTCAATTTTGATCTTCAACTTTTCGGTTTTAGATTTTTGGATTTTTAATATTTGTGATTTTTTACGATTTCTCGATTTATCGAAATATCGATTTTTCGATTGCTCAGTTTCCAAATTTTTCGATTTTCCAATTTTCCTGCGCTACGATTTTGGAATTTTTCAATTTTTTGCCTCTTCAATTTTTAAATTTTTTAAATTTTAGATTTTTAGGTTTCTGGATTTCCAGTTTTTTTAAATTACACATTTTTCAATGCATCAATTTTTTGATTTTACGATATTTTGATGTCTCGAATTTCTGATTTTTTAAATTTTTTATTTCAATATTTTAATTTTTCGAAATTTCTACTTCCTGACATCCCAATTTTCTCGTTTTCTCAAGTATTCCGCATTTTTGCCCCAATTCAATTTTGGAAATTTTTAAAATTTTAGATTTTTGGGGGTCTAGATTTTCCGATTTTACTTTTCTGTATTGGTCCATTTTTTTTATTTTCCAAATTTTTATTTTTAGAGTTTTAGATTTTTAAATTTTGATCTTCAACTTTTCGGTTTTAGATTTTTCGGTTCTCAATTTTCCGATTTTTTAATTGTTCGGTTATTAAATTTTTCAATTTTTCAATTTTTTAATTTCTTGAGTTATTGAAATTTCCATATTTCGATTTTTCGACTGTTCAGTTTCCAAATTTTTCGGTTTTTCAATTTTTGGATTTTTTGATTTTTATTTTTTCGGTTTTACGATTTTGGGCAATTTCCATTTCTCAACTATTCGATTTCTAGGTTTTTCGATTTTTCGGCTTTTTGGTTTTTCCATTTTCCATTAGATTTTTCGAGTTTATTTTTCTGTATTTCGATCTTTCAATTTTTCGATTATTGAGTTGGTCCATTTTTTTTATTTTTAGAGTTTTAGATTTTTAAATTTTGATCTTCAACTTTTCGGTTTTAGATTTTTTGGTTCTCAATTTTCCGATTTTTCAAT